GAACTGTGTAGAAAATTTCATCGCGATTGGACTCTCCTTTCAAAAGTTATCGTGTTAACGGCCGGCCGGACGGACACACTGACCGATTCTAGAGTGTACTCACTTTTTGAGTACACAAAAAGATACTTCAAAAGATGCATATTATCGTTGAGAATAATTATCAACAACTGACACAATTTGAAATATTTAGATATCTCATGATATGCAACTATTGAAAAAGTATCAATATTATTAACCATAATGAATTATGTAAATATATAAATAAACTGATTAATAAATTAAAAATTATACATTTACCACCTTGATGATGTATATGGTGTTTCATAAGTTCTGAATCTCGACAAAAAGATGAGTTTATATGTACAGAGTATGGGTGTGAGTCTTCGCATCATCTACACTTATACACACACCCACTCGTGATTAGATCATACATAAATAAGTCTCAATTAATTTTTTTTATTTTCTAAAATTCAACTTACTTCAATTGCTTGGGCAAATCGATCATCTTCAATTTGTTCTTCAGCTTCTTTTGAAATAGCTAATTAATCTCGTGCATTTTTTAATTCACGATTTATTTCTTGTGGTTGTTTTTGAAGTTTAAGTATATTAAATAGAACGAATTATAGAAAAAAATCTTTTTTTGTTTTATCTTAAGACATACAAGCTCACTTTTACATAGACCATCAGCAAGTAAATAAAATTCATTAGAAAATGAAAGTAAATCACGATGTTTATCTTCAATAGCTTGTTCAATAAAATGAAGTAATGAACGACGACCATCATTTGCTTTTGTTGAATGAAACTATTTAAATAAAATTTAATTTAAACCGAAAAAAAATAACATTTTATTGAATTACTTTCGGTAAAAAACTAATATTAAAACTATGAATTGGTTTATAAGTTGTAACACTTGAATTGATATAATATCCAACTGTCAAGATTAATTCAAGCATTTTTTTTAAATCGAATTGAATGTCGAACATGATCACGAATAGTACAAACTTCAACAAATGTCTAATAAATCAATAAAAAAAAGTTTTTTTTTTCGGAAAAAATTAATTAGTATCAACAAACTTTATCTGTTTCTTCTATTGTTTTTTTTTTATAATTTGCTTTAAATAAAAGTGTTTTTAAACGTTGTTTTAATGGTTTTTTATCACCAATCTAAATAACAAAAAAGAATCACTCAAAATAAAAAAACAACTTACTGCACAAAAATATTATTAGGAATATTGTAAATCGTTGATTTCATTTTTAAATTGTTAAAGAAAATCATATTTTAAATTTTCATTATCACATGATAACATCCATTAACGAAATACAAATGGTGATACTTTGAATTGACTAAACATTACAGCTAAAAAATAAAGAAACAAAAAAAAAAGAATCAATCAATTTTTAATGTAAACAACAACTATTTATCCCAAAATTTTGTGCTGCTTTACCATCAAGTACACGTAATCTTTAGACTTATCAACAAGATCATGAATAGGTTGTCTACCTAGAACAAAAAATTTATAATTTTATTAAAGAAATAAAATAATTATTTTCGCATTTTACTTGGTGCTAATTTACTAGCAAAAGGACGGGGGGCGATTTCTACAGAAATCGGCCCAATTGAATTTTAATGATCTGCCCGGGTAGAAATAAAGGAAATGATGGTAGAAAGTATACCTTATGGTTTTCAAATGATTTTGCTAGGTATTTACAAGTTCAGGATCCGATTACTTCTTCAATTTTCTGTGTAAACATTGGGGCATCT